CTACCTCAATTCCAGATGAGGGGAAATGTCAGCTCACACTCTATTTCTCGGCGGCTCATCTGCCTACTGAGGAGTCGCTTCTGAATCCTGAAGAAGTGGAGGCCTGTGAGGAACGCGGGATTCAAGGTTACTTCTTCGCCCGTGCAGTGTTGGGCTCCGACTTTCAAATCTCTAACAGCCATCCACTCCCACGTGCCTTCGCAAAGTTGGCAGACGATGGTGATAGAGGTGTTGTGATGGTATATGTGTTTGATTTTGTCAAGAACCTGATTTAATGTAGTTCATTGTCCAACCTTTGGATGAATGAAAGAGAAATTGTAGCCTGAGACATGCTTTCAAGCAAGATTGGGAGCAACTTTAGGCTGTGAGATTAAGCCTTTCGCAGCTTGGATAGTCTGATCGTCAAAGGGTTCATGTTCATGCCTCGCTTTCGTAGCAAGTCTTCACATTAAGACATGATATTCCACGCCTTCCTTAAAGATGGACCCACACTGCCACTGCAAATTTGTCAAAGTGCCATCTAGTTTCCATTGTTAGAGCTTTGATTCCTTCATCAGGCACTTTCCAGCAATTATTTTCACAACCATCAGAGTAGGAAATGTCTACATCATAATAAGTTGCTACAGAACGTAAGCATTATGAAGTTAAGACGAAAAGCGCTTACAACTGCTTATGAGTTAAGTTTGTTGCTTACGACATCGTTCATATCAACTGTTGCAGTTCCAAGACAGCCTTACCTTCTGTACTTCCATTGGATCTCAAACAAAAAATGCGATTTTGGAAGTGCAAATTTGGGCAAAATGGCTTTCAAGGCACAATTCATCTCCTCGAGCCGACGGGTTTGCCTCAATCGGGTTAGTGCTCCCTCCAGACTTAATAAAAGGCACGACATTTCTCCTTTTTGGGTTCAATAGGTAATGTTATTACACGTGATTGTCTAAACGTGTAAGGTAGAGCTTTCGTATCCGAGGTTAGTTGTGAAGAGATAAAAGGTTAGTAGCAATCTGTCATCGTCTTTGCTCAGATTTTGGCCTTTACAATAATTTACCAGAAACTAATCTCTTCAGAATTCCGGCTCCACGTTTTCTGGGCTTCCTACAACTGTCACTATTTGAGATACTTGGAAATGAAAAATTCCAAGACCTTGCAGAAGCCTTTCACTGGTCGTGTCCTCGAAATGACACGACGTTGGACCTGACGGCGACTTGTGACCGGTATCCTGTCTATCCTCTGTTTCAGCCTTCTGCAGATGACTTGAATGACTACTGGATTGCAGTTCAGATATGTAGTTCTGCCTTACCGACTTCGAAGGTAGGTGTTCGTCTACAATTTTACCCCAAACGTCTCAGGAATGGGTCATTTTGACGGTCAGTGGGTTCATTATTTGTTTCATTGGACCAATGCATTGGACGGAGGATGTTTAACCTTAGATTATCTGATGGTTGTAGGAGCAGTTGTGACACAGACTAATTCGCTACTCGGACGAGTTTTGTTTTTTTTTCCGTCACACGTCACAATAGTGCCGATCATAATTTTTTCTTTATTGAGTCATACAAACTTAAAGGTTTGATTCCTCATATCCTCTTATCGTCATGGCATGCACACTCTCCTTTCTGGTGGAAGAATTCCTCGTTGGTGAGAGGTAATTCTCCGATAGATGTGATTGTTTTGCAGAACTTCTATGAATTCACTCATAAGATCGTTCATTTTCATGCCAATGAACACCAGTATTTAATTCGTGTTTCTTTATTTTCTTCTTTTAATACTGACAAGTGCCAGCTAAAGAGCTTCCATGAATGAAAACAGTTGAAACACTCACTACATTACAAAAAAGGCGCGAGGATTGTCTGAGATAGTGTAAGAGGATGGAAGGAAGGGATTAGCATAGATGTCCGAATTATGCATCGTTGATCCAATCCCAACCTAAACGGGTATGGGTGATCGTTGAGTGCAAACCTCTTGCCTCCCGTATGCATAATTGGGGATGCATATTTCGGTAGGACTTGATTGTGTAGCTTCTTTCACTGCCTCCACAAAATTGCACTTTTGAAGGAGTGGCATCTACTAGTTGATTGTCGATCAACAATGCGAAGTGGATCTTAGTTCTGTCCCTACTTGACCAAAGCATCCTATTCACATCCTCCAAGACACACAGTCCACTTGTGGTTCGTAATGTCTTAAGTTTAGGTCACAATTGGGTGCCACATATTTTTCGCGTAGGTCACAGGTCCAGTAGTGATATGCAAAATAATGATTTGACTATTGGCCGGCTTAGTAAGATGATGTTCTGCACTGACAGGGAGAAATGATGCAGGACTGGAAAATCCCACGAGTGGGAGCAAGTGGAGAACGTGGTGCCCTCATCTGGTTTTCCAGTGCTCATGACAACAGCAATTTGGCTGCTCTGTACGAGACCGAAGCTCCAGTAGTGTCTCCTACAAAGATGGAATCATTTCCCGCTTACTTGCATCTAGAACGCGCCAATCGACTCGTATGCCATGCCACGTGAGTGCTATCCTTGGCAATTGGGCCATCAAACCACTACATTAGTCTGTATTCATAGCAAACGCGTTCATATTGTCATGACGTTAGTCACAGAATTTCGCATATAGCTGAGCGTGCTTTAAGTATCTTTTTGGCCTCTGTGTTGCCAAGACAGATTTGAAGTAGGCCGTAGAAAAGAAAAAGGCGTGTAGAGAAACATCCTGCAGGCTAACGGAGGGTTACGGGGCCACGGGATTGTAAAAATGGATGAGCAGTTCATCACAGCGAAGCACTGTGAATTGATGGTAGCTTGAGGAAATTGGTAGGTTAGCAATCAGCACAAATGCAACTGCACTTCGCTTGTTGCCTT